GGTTTAGGTTTAAGGGTTTAGGGATGTTCTCGACGCGAAGTCGTCCTGTTGCAGGACCAGAGTTCAAGCTCGTGCTCTGCGGTGATGGAGGCGTGGCTGCTGCAGAGGGGCTGGGAATCGCGACACTGCCCATGCTTTGCTACCTAATGCACGGCAGCATGTTAATTACCAGGGCTCATATACCACAGCTTCCCGGAAGCGTGCATCGATCCTCCACTCGAGCAGCTGCGTGCCCCGATCAAGAACACTTGGACAGTCTAGCAACGGGAAGTCTGGGAAGCGATTGTGTCTCGCCTCGCGAGCGGGAGCTTCAAGCCACGAAGTGCAGCGCAAAGGTGTTGGAAAGACGACCCTGGTCAAGCGCCACCTGACAGGCAAGAGCAAGCAGACAGCTCGGCTGGCTTGTGTAGGAAGAGCTGTGCAGGCGAGTTCGAGAAGAAGTACATTCCAACCCTAGGCGGGAAGCTCAGTCGATTGGCTTTGTCTGATCCGGGCCCAAAGCACTCAAGACTCCATGCCGGCCCCTGTCCTCAAAGTTCTACATAGGGTTTACAAACCCTGAAGCCCTAGAACCCATTCAGGGGTGCGGACCGGTGGCTCACAACAGGCGTGTCAGAGCTTCCCAGCTTTGTTGAGGTGTCGAAGTGCACCCACTGCGATTCACCACGAACTGTGGATTCCTCGGCTTGTCTGAGCTCGTGGAGGAACTTGCTGTTCAGCCATATATATATATATATTTATCTATATAGTTATATATATATATATAGAGTTATATATATATATATATATAGAGTTATGTATATATACATAGAGAGAGAGAGAGAGAGAGAAAAAGAGCCAGAGCGAGCGCTCGGGCTGAGGTGGGCCGCTGACCTTCAACGTTTGGGACACCGCCGGCCAGGACTCGGGGCTGCCCCGCCTGGGAGCTTCGGGGCCGATCGGAAAAAAGCCACAAGACCCAAAGCTCCCTAAGCCCTAAGTCCTAAACCCTAAACCCAAAACCCTAAACCCTAAGCCCTAAACCCTAAACTCTAAAGCCTAAGCCCCAAACCCTAAACCCTAGACCCTAGAGGAGAAGTTCGGCGGTCTGCGTGATGGCTACTACATTCAGGGCCGGCACCTCTGACTCTGTGAGAGCTGTTGCAAGCTCTCGTGCGAGAGGGGTGGATCCCTTTCCAGGGCTTCACTTGAAAGGTCAATGTGCCATCATCATGTTCGACGTGACGTCCCGCATCACATACAAGGCAGCATTTTGCAATTCCTTCGACTAGACTAGTGAGCCAGCTTCGTGAAGCCTGTATGTTCAGCACTCTGAGCTTGACGGCATGAACCCTAAACCCTAAACCCTAATCCGTATGCATGACATGACTGCTTTCTGCTCTTTCAAGCTTGTGGAAGTGCAGGTCTGGGAGCAGAAACATGCAATGACAGCCCCACCTTTCATCCTCGAAGGCTGAGCCGACCCCCCACTGGCCACAAAAAAAGCGCACGGTTAAGGTTTAGGGTTTAGGGTTTAGGGTTTAGGGTTTAGGGATTAGGGTTTAGGGTTCGTCTGTAGCCCCACAGTAGCCGTCTCTCTATCCCCCCTTTTGCCGCGGCTGGCAGCTGCAGCCATGGCTTTCAAGTCGGACATGGAGCAGAATGCGCTCGTTGCCAGCGACTCCATGCCTCTCGGTTTAGGGTTTCAGGGTTTTGGTTTAGGGTTTAGGGTTTAGGGTTTAGGGTCTAGGGACTCCAATTCAGAAGGCTGCCGCTCAAGCTGACCTACCTGCAGCAATAAACTAGAAGCACCGTGCGAGTAGTGGGCCTTGGTCGCCGACCGCAGACATGTGGAAGTAGAAAGACAACAATGCTTGCCACGGGTTCGCAGCAAGTTGCTTGTCTGCTGAAGTGGGCGGTTCTTCCTCGTTTCCACTCCAATTGCACGTGTCTTTCTCTGGTCTTTCTCGCTTTGCGAGTCTTTCACGGCGAAACTTTCCCATATATATATATATACACCATTAAAGTTAAGAGTATTATTGATGTTCATGGTGTAAATATATATCTCCTGGCTTTGCCGCTTGCTGACCGCGACAGAGGCAACCCCATAAAGCGGAGACCTTCGAACCGGAGCTCGAAGATTCTGGCGGAGTCACAAACTCAACGCAATTTCTATGCCATGCCGTGCCTAAGATCGAGGGCCTAGGGGTTTAGGGCTTGGGGGTTTAGGGTTTAGGGTTAAGGGTAATTTCTATGCCATGGCCGTGCCTAACATCTGGGAGCTTCCGAAAATTAGGGGGTACCTTATTTCGGGTCCCTATAAATAAGGATCCTACTATTTAGGGGTTCTATATTAGGCCCCCTATTTCGGAAACCCCCATAGAGGGCTTTGTGGTATAAGAAGGTGCAGTTATACACACATCTATCATCATGTATCTGTATATGCATGTAATCACACTGGGGCTCTAAGGGGACTGTACTCCTAATTCTGCAGACACCAGTAATGACCCTTCCGGGGGCCGAAGTGCTCTCTCCACCCTTCGCGCTCAAGGTCGGATGACGCAGAGGACAGACCTAAACCCTACACGCTAAACCCTAAACCCCAAACCCTAAATCCTTAAATCCCTAAACTCCAAACTGCAAAGCCCAAAGCAACAGAGCCCCAAGAAGCCCTCAAGCCTGAACTCTAAGCTGGTGCGTGTGTGCTCCTTTGGTCCTGGCTCCAGCGAAGGGTTCTACGATGACCCCTGAGGCTCTAGCCCATCACAGGGCTTTATTTGGGACGTTCCGAAAATAAAGGATACCTTACTTGGGGGTCCTTTTGATAAGGGATCCTACTGTTGAGGGTACTATATTGGGGTCCACATCTTCGGAAACCCACATTTGTTTCGCAAGAGTCTATCGCGGTCTATTGAGTTCTTCTGGGGACGGTGTAGGGGTCTTGGAAGGGGGTTTCTGGGGGCATTCCAGCATCCGGCAGACTGCTGTGAAATTGGTAGACCCTAAACCCTAAACCCTGTGTTTCCTTTTGTTGGGATCCCTGGGATCCTTGCCCTGAGGGTCTTCGATCTGTCTGAAGCTCACACTTCTGTCTGGTGCTTAGTAGGGAATGGGGGAATGGATCCCTATGATCGTCCCTTAAGGTCCCTTATAGTAGTCCCTATAACCCATTCCCCCCTTCCCTACTAAGCACCAGACACTTTCCTGGCAGGAGGGTTTCTTCTGCCACCGCTGTGGGCATCCGCTGTCTTCCGGCGCTCGCTTCTGCCAGAAGTGCGGGGCGAGGCCCGGTCTCAAGAAACAAAAGGGCCCCCCCTGAGCTTTTTAGGGTTTAGGGCTTTGGGTTTAGGCCCTAAACCTTAAACCCTAAACCCCGAAACCCCGAAATAGGATTTTGGTATCTTAGGGTTCAGGCTGTGGGGTGTTGGGTCTAGCAAGGGGTGTCGGTGATTTTTCGACAGCTCAGGCCTAAAGCCGAATCTAGGGGCCGAAGTAATGACCAATACTTCTGTGGGGGGTTCCTTGCTATAACTATATCATAATATCCCCCCAAACCCTATTCTATTTAAGAAGGCGCCGAAATTAAACCCTAGGCCCTAACCCCTAAACCCTAAACTCTGAACCCTAAACCCCTAAACCCCTAAACCCCTAAACCCTAAACCCTTAAACCCCCAAAACCCCTAAACCGCGAGCCTTCAGGCAGCCAGACAGGCGACGGCTGCAGCGCGGAAGCTGCCCTTGCTCCTCTTGCCTCTGCTGCTGCAGCACCTGTTGTGTGCCTCCGGGAGGAACATAGATTTGGGTTTAGGGTTTAGGGNNGTTTAGGGATTATGGTTTAGGGATTTTGACTCCGGGAAACCTGCGCAGCTTAGCCGTTCACTACCCAATGCTAGCCGTGATCTGGGCCGGGAGGTTCTGAACACTCACATTCCAGTGCTTCCGTTTGTTAAAACCCTAAACCCTAAAACCCTATATTAGTGGTCCTGGGTCCCTACTTACAGAGTTTCGACTTTCCCAGCTGGCTTCTTAAATTCTTAAACGTCAATGTCAAACCTTCAAGCACCCGCCCTCCCTAAACCCTGAAGCTTTAAACGCTAAGCCCTAAACCTGAAAAAGCAAACCCCAAACCTAAAACCCTAGACCCTAAACCCTAAACCCTAGCCTTAAACCCTATAACCCCTAGTCAAACCCTTTTGGGTTTCGGAGGTGCTTGTGCTGCTGTGTCTGGCCGTCGGCACGGCACTTGGCATCTCTGCGCTCCAGCCGACTGCGCCGCATTTGGTTTCGTTGGGGGGGGGGGTTTCCCAGAGAGCCCAATACCCCTTAATTAAGGAATATACCTTAAATCATTATATTACGGCCCCTTTAACTTAAGGTATATTCCTTATTTAAGAGGTATTGGGCTCTCTGGGTTTTATGAATGGGAAGCCCTAACGAGGAAACTATACTATCTACTATAGATCCCTACTGAAGCTGCCAAAAGCCACTCTTAAGCCAACACCGAAACCCACGCCGAATTCCGATGGAACCGTGCGAAACCACCATACTGGATTTTGTGGGCGCAAACTCTGAGCCAGTAACCCTTCACCCGAAATCCCGGAACCCCAAATCCTAAACCCCAAACCCCGAAACATACCAAACCCGAAAGCCTCAAAACCCGAAAGCCAGCTTCAGTCCTTCTAGAACATTGCGTAGAACACTGACGGGAACCCTTATTGGGAACCCTTATGGCAACCCTACAGGGTAAAATCCCTAAACCCTAAACCCTAAACCCTGAATCCTAAACCCCAAGCCCCAATTTCCACCAGGACCTGGCTCGGCTCCTGTGCCGGCTCTGTGCTGTCGGCGACCATGGGCGTGCGCTTGGGCGGAGTTTTTAAAACCATTCGTTGCGGTTTTGAGAGTTTTTTAAACCCTAAAACCCTAAACCCCAAGCCTTTGGGTGTTCGTTCCGGTTTTGAGCAGGCCGTGAGGCGGTGAACTCTAAATCCAAAAAGGGAATGTGGCATGAGTCTCTTATCGGCCTCGCGGATAGCTTCGGTGCATCAGCCGCGACAGCCCGAGTTTCTCCTTGTCGCTGAGGCCCGTCTCCCTCGGCTCCGTGCACTTGGGGCTCCTAGAAGGCCGGGACGCCAGCCACGTCGGATCGGGGTCGCTGCGAGTTTTTCTGAGGTAAACCCCTAAACCCCTAAACCCCTAAACCCCTAAACCCTAAACCCTAAACCCTGTTGAACTGTTGGGGGAACCGGAGCCGCAGTGTTCCCCATATTGCATGAGAAGTCAGTCCGTATCGACTCTGACCGTACGACTTCGTGACGACTCTCACAGATGCCCATGATGGCAGTCTTCATCGTCATTTCATGACTCATAGCGATGAGCCGTTGCTGATGATCACGATTGTTGGGGTCCAGTGTGAATTGGGATGCGGGTCCAGTGTGCGTCAGTGTACGTCGGGCCTCCAAAAGGAGTGAGCCACACCCATGAGTCCTAAACCCTAAACCCTAAACCCTAAACCCTAACGGGAGTGGGCAGCCGCCCGCATAAACCCGAAGAAAAAGAGGACACAACTCCAAACCTCCGAGCCTGAAAGTAGCTTCATCCTTCCCCAGACCCTTAGCTCCAAACTGCAAACCCTAAAACTACCCAGAGAGCCCAATACCCCGTAATTAAGGAATAGACTTTAAATCATAATATGAAGGCCCCTATAATTTAAGGCATATTCTTTATTTAAGAGGCATTGGGCTCTCTGGGTACTGGCCATGGCCAAGCTGGAGACTCCGTGCATCTGAAGACTCTGAGCCCCCGCAGTCTAAGGACTTTAGGAGGGACCCCTAATAGGGACCCTTAACCCCATGACCTTATAAATAACCCTTGTATAGTCCTGATATACCCCTTATATAGCCAGGTAGTCTCCATATTAACCGATTAACCCCAACAACCTACCGGGGCCCTAAACCCTAAACCCTAAACCCTAAACCCTAAACCCTAAACCCTAAACCCTAAACCCTAAACCCTTAGACGCAGGCCGTGCCTCCATCCGGAAGCTGGCGGTCGGCAGTCCCGAAGGCCCGGGAGCCGAAAAAGCCCGGAGAACCCTAGGGCCAAAAGCCCGGGGGTTTAGGGTTTAGGGTTTAGGGTTTAGGGTTTAGGGTTTAGGGTTTAGGGTTTGGGGTTTTTGAACCTCTCAACCCTGAGCCCAAAACCTGTGAGCCCGAAACTCTGCCTAAATCCCCAGAGACTCCAATAGCCCTTAAATACGGAATATACCTTAAATTATAGTAGGATCCCGAATATGATTCCTTAATAAAGGGATATTGGAGTTTCTGGGTCCTCATCATCCCAAGTCCCCAGCCCGAGCTTGCGTCCCGCCGGAGCCGCAGTCCCCGGAGCAGGCTTTCACCACGACTTTCTGGACTTGAAGCACCTCGCGGCTCTGGCAGAAGTCAGATTTCTGTGTTTAGGGTGTAGGGTTTAGGGTTTAGGGTTTAGGAAGAGTTGGGTCAGGTTTACAGCGAGTCCAAGAAAGGTGGAACATAGGTTTAGGAGGATTAGTGCTAGGATCCCTTATGCTTTACCTTAAGGGCATGAGGATATTGATGTTCCAACTTTCTGGCTTCTACTGTATGTGGATGCATAATATGATGTCCGCAGGTGCAGATAGCATGGAAGATTGCATGAACCGGGGAAGATCTTTTGCTGTTGTTTGGCTGCATGGAGCCATGCCGGTTGAAGGATTCTGCAACTCGTTGCGGCGGCCGCATCCGCTCCCAGGTTTTCGACATCAGCCCCATGTCGCTGTTGAAACAGCGGTTGATGGGTTCGGCCGTAGTGGCCGTGGAGCTAGAGGAGGCCGGCCAGGGATTGTCGTCACCCCAGGACCTGGAAGCTCAGCAAAGGTAGGTGGTCCCCTTACCGAAACACTAAACCCTGAACCCTGAACCCTAAACCCTAAACCCTAAACCCTAAACCCTAAACCCTAAACCCTGACATGCTGAACCCTGACCCTTAAACGCCTAAACCCTTAATGCTCTCTGCCCAAGACCTCGCACAAGACAAGGAGCCCGGATCTGATGCTTGTGGGTGGATGTTCCCAGAAACTCCAATATCCCTTAATTAAGGAATGTACCTTAAATCATATTAGGGATCCTACTAGAATTTAAGGTATATTATTTATTAAGGAATATACCTTACATCATATTAGGGATCCTACTATAGTGTAAGCTATATTACTTATTTAAGGGATATTGGAGTCTCTGGGTTTAGGAGCCGCATGGCGTCCTTCTGCGCTCTTCTGACTGCCACTGCGATCAGCTGAAACGGTGCACAGGTAGGTAGCATTGTTAGGGGTACCCCTTTTAGGGACCTTATTGAGAGGGTCTATATCCCCAAGGGTCCCCCTAATCCTAGCTCCCAACAGGAAGGTGCAAGGTGCAAGCTTAGGTCAAGCGCTCAACGCATGTGCCATGGCTTTGACAAAGAGACCTTCGTGCAGGTGTCGATCAACACTTTGCATGTCTTCATCGAGCAGCGACTGGGACAAGTTCGGATTTCTCGATTTTGCATTCCCTTCCAAACCTGTTGTTTCTTCACCCTGATCCACTTAGTGTCGTAGCATGGATTGGGCTCGAGGACTTCAGAATATGCGCCTTCCAACGCGAAGATCATCGTCGACCACCTGTGCCACGGCTCCAAACGGTGGGTCCTCTTGGGGTCATCGTCACAAGAACCGGCGTCGTGCTTTCTCAGACTTAAGAGAAAGCTGCCTTTACTGCCCTATGTCTAGCAATGCGACAGAAGTAGGCTTTTTTTCCCGGAGAAAGCAGAAGAAGCTGGGACATTTCGCTCGGGGAAGCCCGAAAGCCTTGAAGCCCTAAACCCTAAATCCTAAACCTTAAACCCTAAGCCCTAAACCCTAAACCCTAAACCCTAAACCAGAAAGCGACAAACCCTAAAGCCCCGGACCGCCCTTGGTGGTCGGCGGAACTCGAGGAACGCCCTGGCGCCCAAGGCCGCGACGCAGGTGAACGCGGAGGCCCTACTCAGGGACTCCAAAGACTCGGGGTTTTGGGGGTTTAGGGGTTTAGGGCCTAGTTAGGGGTTTAGGGTTTAGGGTTTAGGGGTTTAGGGGTTTAGGGGTTTAGGGTTTAGGGTTTAGGGGTTCAGGGGTTTAAGGGGTTAAGGGTTTTTTTGGGTTTAGGGTTTAGGGTTTACACAGGGCCTTAATGACTAGAACAGGGTTTTCGGGCATACCATACTGTAATTATATGAAGGAACCCCCCCCAAAATAGTAGAGGGACTCCAAAGACTCACGCGGGTTATTTTTACAGGTTTAGGGTTTAGGGATCACGTGGGTTATTTTTTACGGGTTTGTAAATGGGTTTCCCCCACAAAGGTTCCTTAACATAGCGATCGGAATAGTTACCAATATTATACCTTAGGGCTAGAGTACAACATGCCCCAAATCCTATTCCAACCATCAAGGGCCCTTGTTTGTAAGCATAAGGATCTCACCACCAAGGCTCTTTGGAATCTGGTGTATACGGTTCTTCAGAATTGCATCAACCATAGGATCCTTAGGCTGACGCAGTTTCTTGGGCATGGCTAGCCTCCAAAATGCCATAGAAGCCGCAAGCCGCATTCCTAAACCCTTAACGGTTAAGGCTTAACCCTAAACCCCTAAACTCTCTACCCTATACCCTAAACCCAGAACCTTAAACCCCAAACCCAAAACCCCCTAAACCCCAAACCCCTGAACCCTAAACCCTAAACCCAAAAACCCCGGATGCCTTAAATCCCCAAGCGCCTGAAAGGACGGAACGGCCGAAGCCCTGCATGCGCTGCTTGGCTTCGGAGCTGATGCTTTGCACTGCCAGAAGGGAGGACCTTAAACCCTAAACCCAGTCCTTGGTTTAGGGTTTAGGGTTTAGGGTTCAGGGGTTCAGGGGTTTAGGGTTTAGGGTTTAGGGTTTAGGGGTTTAGGGTTTAGGGGTTTAGGGTGTAGGGTTTAGGGTTGAGGGGCTGTAGCCAGAAGGGAGGAGCTGCCAGCTGAACCACATCGCAGCGCTCGCGCGATTTTGGTATTCTAGCGCAGCACAGGACCCAGAGACTCCAATACCCCTTAATTAAGGAATATACCGTAAATCATATTAGGGGTCCTACTATCATTTAAGGTATATTCCTTAATTAAGGGGTGTTGGAGTCTCTGGGGATGGTGCTCACAGTTTACGATACGAAGGCATTGTACAAGACAACAGGATTGGACAATCGATACCTAATCACCCGAAGCCCTCAACCCTTATGTTCCCGGGGGTCGCATGAGTTGCTCTCGTTCCTGCGACCATGGATTCTGTAGCGCTCGGAATGACTCCGTTTTTTGGCATGCCCAGGGAGCCCAATTTACACCAGAGTGAGGCAATGGTCTTCAGATTTCCCAAAGGCTATGACAGGCTTTGATCACTTAAACCCTAAATTCTAAACCCTAAACCCCTAAACCCCTAAACCCCTAAACCCCTAAACCCCTAAACCTTAAACCCCTAAACCCCTAAGCCCCTAAAACCCCTAAACCCTAAGAGCCTAAACCCCTAAACCCCTAAACCCTAAACCCCTAAACCCTAAACCCTAAACCTTAAACCCTAAACCCTAAACCCCAGCCTGGTGTCTTCTTTGCCTTTCGTTTCCCCCAAGGCTCACGACTCGGATCAAGGCGGCGGCTCGGAGCGATCTTGGGACGTTTCGGTTTGAGCGAAGTTTAGTGCAGACGGTCATGTAGAAGTAGAGGCAAGTGGTTTAGGGTTTAGGGGTTTAGGGGTTTAGGGGTTTAGGGGTTTAGGGTTTAGGGTTTAGGGTTTAGGGTTTCGTATGAAGCTGAGCAACCGAATTAAAGCCTTAAGCCCCAAACCCTACACCTCTAAACCTCCATCAAGCGAGCTCGCAGTCCCCACCTACAAGAGCTCCAAACCGCTAAGACGTGCCTCGAGCTGAAGGGCCCCAAAGAGGGTTTAGGGTTGGGGTTTAGGGTTTAGGGTTTAGGGTTTAGGGTTTAGGGTTTAGGGATTTAGGGGTTTAGGGGTTTAGGGTTTAGGGTGTGGGGTTGGGGGTTTAGGGTTTAGGGTTGCCCCGTAGCTCCAAGGTCCGAACTTATAGAACCTTCACCTCAATTGCATGGACCTCTGGAGCATGTAAGCCAGACCATGCAACCCACTATCCTACATCATAAGGAGATAGGACACCTCTACAAAAACTTCACAGAAGCAGCCCTAAACCCCAAACCCCTGCAAAATCATTGTAGAAGCCTTCTAGAAGTCCTTCGTAGAAGTCAGGACAAGATCGATTTCAGCGACATTGGCATCGGCTATTGCAAGCAGCTCCTTGGCCAGATTCTTTTTAGATCAACCGTAGAAATGTGCAAAACTACACGGTGAATAATGCAGCATAGAAGAAGATGATAAAGGATATAGAACAGGTGGTATGGAATACATGAGACAGAATATAAGACGTCGTTTAGTGTGGAACGGGGTTGAAGCTTTAGAGTATGCTGGTAGCAAAGTTGGAGGGGTTGGGGTCTGCATACCGGTGCCCGTTGGTTTTACCAAGCTGAGAGTCTAATGCTGTGAGTGCGAGGCCGGACTGCGGCAAGTATGGCCCGGCCACCTATGTTGTGAAGGCCGGGAAACCTGGGCTGTGGCCTTGCGTCCATAAGTCAGAGCATCCGCAGATGTGGTGTCAGCAGCCGCGGCCTTTATTCGAGGCGCGTGTCCCAAAATTTAGCTACGCCTGCAGGAGATCTTGATCACAGACGTCGGCCGCTGGATGCATATCCTGAGGGACCGTCCCAGCGAAAGTAAACAACATACTTGCGGGTGAACATCGAGTCGGTCTCATGGCATCGGTAGATGTCATTCCGACCTGTCTGCCAGCACCGGAGAGCAACCCGTTCCATCCCAAAGACATACAGTGACATCGCATCAGCTTGCTGTTCGTGCGTGCCATTGTGCTTTTGTTTTCAGCCCTGCGCTTGTCAGACATGGTCAGACTTTCAGCGGGATCAGGCACCTTGTGAGTTATCGCAGGGTGTCGAAGACAAGGTCTCGTCATGGTGAGGATCTTTCTGCCTTTCTGCTCGACTTCTGTTCTGACGTCGACAGCTAAGGCAAACGTGGCAATGGAGTTTTCCTCTACCAACTTGCCGAGGTGCCACTTTCACGGGTGTTCCGGCAAACCGGGTGCGTAGTCTTATCATGTCTCATGCGTTTTAAACGCAGCCACCCAGGCCACCTCTAAACTCGAAAGTGGAGCATGCCGATGCAGTTGAATGAAGGTTTCTAAAGCTGTTCGACGTGCATCAGAGATCATTGCGGTGAGTCGCGTGTCGTCTGCTTTCACTGGGACTGCAGTCCTGTACAGGTGGTGGTACGCACAGTCCTCGTGGCCGTGCTAAAATCCGCGCCGGACAACATGCGTCAGAACCTCTTGCGTGCCTTGGTGAAGGAGATGACCTCACAATCGTCTCAAACATTAGAGAAGCTGCGACAGGTGCCATTGGTTCAGGTGTCGGGAATCAGCTCGACAATCTGGACTTCGGAGCCTTGTTTGAGACAGATTATTGAGGTGTGCACTTTCCCTAAACCCTACACCCTGAACTCTAAACCGCTGCTGCCTTCCAATGCTGCGAGAGTTTTCCGTAGGGATTTAGGGGTTTAGGGACAGCTTTGCGGAAGTTCACGGCTCAGCTGTGCTTGGCTGCTGAGGCTCTCTCCACTTTGACTTGGGTGACGGTGGCGGATTGCAGACCGTAGGCCGCTAGCTCGCTTTCCGGACTCCGTCGTAAAGAAATAATTGAATAACTAAATAGATAGATAAACAAATTTATGAATAGATAGACAGACAGACAGATAGATAGAAACATGCATAAGCAAATATGAGAATAGGTAAGTAAATGAGTATATATATATATATACACAGACACACGTACACATACATGTATACCAGTATATATACATATACACACACACACACACCTGTATAAATATATCTACATATGTATGCATCGAGAGGTCTAGATATGTACACGTGTGTGTGTATATATATATATATATGTATCTATGTATGCATACACGCACATGGGTAGTTGTCAAACCTATCGTCCTACCCGGGAGCCGTTTGGGACCGCCAAGGAACTTCAGTTTAGACAGCCACCCATATATGCATAGGTATGGATATAATATATATATATATACACACACATACAAATATATCTATCTATCTGTCTTTCTATCTATCTATCCATCCATCTATCTATCTATCCCTCTCTGTCTGTCTATCTATGTATCTATCTATCTGTATATATATATATATATATCTACCCATCTATACACACATACGTACATCTATATCCGTGCGTGTGTGTGCCTCTATGACTGTACTGTACTGTACTGTACTGTGCTGTACTGTACTGCAATGCAATGTACTCTACTGCAATGTAATGTACCGTACTGCAGTGTAATGTACTGTATTGCAATGTAATGTACTGTAATATCCTATCATGTCATGTCATGTCATGTAATGTCATGTCATGTCATGTCATGTCATGTCATGTCATGTAATGTAATGTAATGTAATGTAATGTAACGTAATGTAATGCCTGCATGCATGTATGTATGTATGTATGTATGTATGTATGCATGTATGTATGATTATGTATGTACGTATCATCCTGAGATTTTGCAAAGCCAATCGCTGTTGCAGGGGAGATGACTGGGTGGCTCTCGGGGGAGTTTGCCAGCCTTCCCATGAAGGCCGGTAGTGGGTTGGGAGTGTTCCACTCCGGACAAGCTTTGGGATACTTCGTTATGTGGCCCGTTCAAACCAGTTCTTGCATGTGCTCACACTTGCAAGTCCATTGTGGGTAGTGTTAGCAGGCAGCATCATCCACCTTGCTGCATCAGAGCATTGGAAGTTCCATGACCGAAAACCAGTGCTTTAAGAGATCTGTTGCGGTGATTTCGACGACGGTCTCATGGCAGGCCACCAACGCCGCTGTGGCCTTGAACACGAAGGCGTTGGAGGTGGGGACTGCGACATGTGGCAGCAGGGACTTGCTGATTGCATGCCTGTCGCTTCCCACGACTCTTGCCCTGCAGCATCGGCTGACGCATCACAGGCGGTTTCTCCTGGGAGGTAGGCCCTAGGCCCCAAAAGGCCCTAGGCCCCATGACGCAGATGCCGCCGCCGCTTCTGGCGCCGCCTCCGGAGGGCTTCGAGGGCGCTGTGCTTGCAGGCAAAGCCAAGGTCAACCTGCTGGGTGAGAATATAATATATTATAGTAGATTATAGTATGTTTTAGTACATTGAATATAGTATATAATATTATAGTATGTTATAGTATGTTATAGTATATCTCATATAGTATACTGTAGTATGTTATAGTATATTACATATGGCATATTATAGTATGTTATAGTAAATTATATCATGTTATAGTATGTTATCGTCCATTATAGTATATAAGGCCAACCTGCTGGGTGAGAAGATCTTCTTTTCGGGCTGCCTGGCTGGAGCCTTCATCGGCTATGGCGCCTACCTGGCCTGCACCGTCGGAGGCGCGCGGATATCAGGTCTCGAAAATAGGACTTATAGGATGAAATCTATAGATAGAAGGACCCCAATAGCATTATGGCTTATAATTAGGATGAAATCTATAGCTAGAAGGACCCCCCAAGCAGCATTGAAAAAGTTGCGAGATGTAGTTTTTTTCTTTGGCCCCTGTCACAGGGAACTGCCCGGGCCTGGCCGAGAGAAACCCAGGGCTCCAGAAGTTGGTCTTCGGCTCCTTCGGGCTTCCCTTCGGGCTCTTCATGACGGTGCTCTCGGGCACGGAGCTCTTCACGGGCAACGCGGCGATTGTGACCATGGCGGTGTTTCAGGGCAAGGCCGATCTGCAGCAGCTGGCGAGGTCCCTGCTGCTTTCCTGGCTGGGCAACTTGGTGGGTGCAGTGGGTGTGGCTCGGCTGGCCATTACGGCCGGTACCATGCCCGGCGGCGGTGCTACTGTGACGCTGGCGGTGGCCAAGACTTCGCTACCCTTTGCAACGGTCTTTGTGCGGGGCATCCTGTGCAATTGGCTGGTGTGTATGGCGGTGTACATCGCTTCTATGGCCAAAGACACTGCTGGCAAGGCCATAGCCATTTGGTTTCCCATCTCTGCTTTCGTGACATTGGGATTGGAGCATTCGGTCGCCAACATGTTCATCATCCCGGCGGGCATTTTCGCAGGCGCCGACGTGTCCTGGGGGCAGTTCCTGCTCCACAATCTGCTGCCCGTCTCACTCGGGAACATGTTTGCCGGGATGTTTCTTGTGGCGCTGCCATACTCCATACTTTTCGGCCGCAAGAAATGAGATGCCAGCAAAAGCTGGCGAAAAGGCCTATAGAAGCAAGGTGCCGACCTGGCTGCGAGGAGCCGTGCGTCGCGTTTGATCGACGCCAAAGAGGCGAAAAAAGGGGCAAAAGTTTTGTAGAGCAGCTCTGTCTTGATATATTCCCTCCGAGCCACCCCTCACACTGGCGTCAGAGGAAGTCCCAAGCGAGGCAACGGTGTGTACCTGCACAGTTCAGTCACTTCAGTTCAGCTCTTTCCGTGCCAGTTGGAGAACACGTTCCGGAACTCGGCCATTGCGGACCAGGCGCGAGAAGCCTCAACTCCTGCAGCTGAGTGTTCTTGCATGTCCGGATTCAGCCCCTTCTTGACTGGTAGACGGTTTGCAGAGGGCCCGTTCGGGGGCCCTTTCGCTGCTCTCTCTCTCTCTCTGTGGGTTTCGCTTCAGCGAGGCCAAGATGGGCTTGGAGGCCGCCAAGATCGGCACAGATTTGGTCGGCATGGGCGTGAAGGCACAGAAAGATGCCCCTTACTTACGGTCTCCACGGGATCACGGTGGGTCCGAAACCAGTCTGCCAGGCCAACACGGCCTTCACCAACATGGGCGCACCTCGACTCAGATTGTTATGCTGCCTGGGAGAAGTCGACGTCAGCTCGTCTCTAAGGTGAAAGCCAACACCGAGGTCCTCAAAGCAGAGACCAAGGCAAACAACTTCTTCAACAAAGTCAGGCGAGGGGATCGGTGGAAGGATGTCCGGCGGCGAGGTTGCGATGCAATTCTGAAGTTTTGAGTTAAACTCAGTTGCTTAAACCGGGTTCGTATATTGGTTTGCACCCTGTGAAACCCAGTGTGAACCAAACCGTTTCCGCGAAGCGGATCCAGATGTTGATGCACATACTTATCTAGCGGATTCCATATTCTACTTATCTTTTTTTGTGTGTGTCTCTCTCTCTCTCTCTCCCTCTCTCTCTCTCTCTTCATTTTTGTGTGTATATACATATATGCAAAATTTACATACCTACCTACCCGCCTACCTACCTACCTACCTACCTACCTACCTACCTACCTACCTGCCTGCCTGCCTGCCTGCCTACCTGCCTACCTACCTTCCTGCATACATACATACATACATACATACATACATACATACATACATACATACATACATACATGCACACACACGCACCCACACACTCGCACATACACAGGGTATCACAGCTGCCAGGGATGGCTTTCCCACACCCTAAACCCTAAACCCTAAACCCTAAACCCTAAACCCTAAACCCTAAACCCTAAACCCTAAACCCTAAACCCTAACCCCAAACCCTAAACCCTAAACCCTAAACTGCTGCCAGGGATGGCTTCACCACCGGCTTCACCTCGGGCCTGAGCCGCTGAGAGCCGAGGAGCGGAGCCGCGCTGAGAGCCGGGCCTCGGAAGACGCCCCGAGCCGCGGCCTCCGCCTTTTTTCCCTCAGAGCTTTTAGGGTTTAGGGGTTAGGGGTTTAGGGTTTAGGGTTTAGGGTGTAGGGGTTTAGGGTTTAGGGTTTAGGGGTGGTTTAGGGCCGTTTCGGGTTTCGGGGTCTAGGAGTTCGGGTTTCGGGTGGAGGCAGAGGAGCAGTTCCAGAAATGCTGGAAGCATCTCCCATGTTGAGCTGTAGCCTGTTCAGATGGCAGGTTGCACGTCGTTGCAACAATTCATGGCAGTTAGGTAGTCGGACTTTCCCGATCAAGGGATGCTCGGCTGCAGTGCTTTCGGGGCCAATATCCCGCGTTTCTCCCCGCGTTGGTTCCGACACTTTGCATGCTGTTGAAGCAGTGCCTTAAAGGGGTCGGGCAAGGATTCTATACAGGCTGCATGCCTTCCGCGTCCCTTCCCGGAAAGTCCGGAGAGCTGCGGCCCTCAGAAGTCGGGCCTGCACCGCTCGGACAAAAGAGATGGTGCTGTCGAGACCCGGAGGCCTTGAGTTCTTCTCGTGGCAACAGCCCCGATAGGGTTTAGGGTTTAGGGTTCAGGGTTTAGGGTTTAGGGTTTATGGAACTGAAGAAGCCTTGCAGCTTTAGGGGTTAAGGGTTTTATTAGGGATGTGGGTATATACGCCGCGCCGCACCTCTGCCGCAGAACGTGCCCAATTGGCATCGCGACATTGTGCGGGTGTGCGAGAACATTCCCATCGTCCTTGTTGGGAACAAGGCGGGTTGTATGGGTGTCTGTGTGTGTGTGTGTGATTCGATCCAGAGCCCACAGTTGGCCAAACTTTTCGAAGCACCGAGGGATGGTTCAGGGTCTAGGCAACTCAGTAGAAGAGGATGCTCCTCATTGAAGCGCTGCCTGACAGGTTGATGTGAAGGACCGCCAGGTGAAGGCCGTTGACGAGCATGCGCGAGTCGTTCACGATTCCAGAATCCCTAAACCCTAAACCCTAAACCCTAAACCCTAAACCTGTGGACATGGGTAGTTGTCTAAACTGGGGTCCCCTTTTCGGTCCCCAATCTAGTACGGCACCCTTATAAAAAGGGACCTCCCCAAAGGGACCCTAATTTAGAGAACTACCCACATGGGGGCTCGGGCCCTAAACCCTAAACCCTAAACCCTAAACCCTAAACCCTAAACCCTAAACCCTAAACCCTAAACCCTAAACGGGGGCCTCGGGGATCCAGGCAAAGAACATCCAGTTCCACCGAAAGAGGAACCTCCAGTACTATGACCTCAGCGCCCGGCCGACCCCTGAGAGCTCGCTTTGCTTCTTGGGATGGAAGGGGTTTAGAGTTTAGGGGGTTCAGGGTTTAGGGTTAAGGGGAAGTGGTTTCGAAAAAAGGTACCTTTTTTGGACCGACCTTTGCCCTTTGCCAGCTTCGGCAACAAAGTCGAGCAGAGAGCATCAGAGAGCCCAGAGGAGCAACTACAACTTCGAGAAGCCCTTCCTGTGGCCGGTCGCCCAGTCTGGAGCCTTGCAGCCCTTGTCTCCAAACCCTCAGATTGATAAACACCAGAACCAAAAAACCCTAAACCCTAAACCTTAAACCCTAAACCCTAAACCCTAAACCCTGAACCCTGAACCCTAAACCCTAAACCCTTAAAATCGTCCATGCCCAAAGATTTCATCACAGTCGAGGCTGGCCCGACGATTGACGAACCAGGGCAACCTCCAGTTCGTTGGACAGTTCGCCAAGGTGGCTTCGAAGGATTATAGTAAACCCCGAAAAGTTGGAAACCGGATTAAGGACAAACAGTGCTTGGATTTTTTATACATAACTTTTAAGGATTGAGGCTATTAGGTTTCCAACTTTTGGGCTTCTACTGTAGAAATTAGGAGACTTCGAAACAATGTCGGAACCTTATTAAAGACATCCTGGTCTCTTGAGGTCTTTCTAGGGTCGTTTTTCTACTACTGACTGGATCCTATAGCTGTAATGTTTCGGGGTTGCAGAAGCAGCCATTTCTGAATCAGGTTCTGGCAACCCTAAACCCTAAACCCTAAACCCTAAGCCATCATCTGCTGCTCGAAGTGAGGGGGTGAAGTCGTGCCGAGGGCTGCCGGTTTCTTTCCCGAAACCGCCCCAAACCCTGACCCCCTCGGGTACCATAGACCCCAAGCTCGGTGGTCTGCTCTGGAGACGTGGGGTTAACGGGGCCTCGCACATACGCTCACCCGCCGACGGATTCCGAACGTCCGGTCTAGGGTTTAGGGTTTAGGGGTTTAGGGCTTAGTGTTTAGGGTTGGGCCAAAGCCACAAAACTGAGCCGTGAAAGTCTAGAAGCCTCTAAACCCGGGACCCTTAACCCCAACCCCTAAACCCGAACTCTTATGGGAACCGTTACAGATCCCTGAGAGAAGAGCCTGTATCGGAAGCCTGAAATCCTACCTGCAGGTTGGAGGATCATGGGACTTATGTAGTAAGCATGGTTATACGCACCTTATTTGGGAGTTATCAGTACAGTTACCCCAACAATAACCTTAGTCACCAAGCCCCATGATCCTTTAAGTCGACAGGACAGCCCCCCCTATAGAACCCTCATAGAGCCTTTAGAGATCCCTTTAAAGGACCCCTTTAAGTTACTAAGTCCCATGATCCTTGAAGTAGACCCTCACCCTAAACCCTGAACCCTAAACCCTAAACTCTAAACCCTAAACCCTAAACCCTAAACTCTGAACCCTAAACCCTAAACCCTAAACCCTAAACCCTAAACTCTAAAGCTCCCCCTTGACCCCAAACTCGCTAGGCTCCAGAGATCCAGATTGACAACGCCCTCATCGCGCAGCACGAGAAGGCCCTCGTTCTGAGGTAGTAAACGGTTTAGGGTTTAGGGTTTAGGGTTTAGGGTTTAGGGGCCGGGTTAGGCTGTAGGGGGTAGGATTAGGTCAGGTTAGGGTTTAATTGGGCCTAAACCCTAAACTTGCCCACGCTCTGTGCGTACAGCCCCCCCAAAATCCTAAACTTGATAGGAGCCCCGTAGAACACGCGCCCTCCCTCTCTGTAGCAGAACCCTTTTTTAGATGACCCCCAAAATGCCCTTATAGTAGAACCCTCCCCACCCTAAACCCCTAAACCCTACCTGGACCCCATAAAACCTTCCTTTTTAGGGCTCCTTTTTGAAGACTTCGTTCCATAAGCCCTTAAAAGGGTAGGTTACTTGAAAAAAACCTAAACCCTAAACCCTAAACCCTAAAGCCCTAGGAGCCCTCATCAAAACGAAGGAGCCCTCTTTGGAGCCCTCCCCCCTCGTCCGCTTTCGACTTGTGAAAAACACCAAAAACCACCAAAAAAACCCAGAACCCCTAAATCTGTAAACCCTAAAACCCTAATAACCTAAATCCCTAAACCCTAGAATCCCCTAAAACCCCTAATCCCCTAAATCCCTAAACTCTAAAACCCTAAAAAACCTTGTACTGGAAAACTGCTAGTCAAACTTTGAGGCCCCAATAGCAGGCTCCTCCTGGTAAGGAATTCTAGACTGTTCAGCAGTTGGAAAAGGGCCCGTAAACAAAAACCTAAAACCCTAAATTCCCTAATAAGCTAAATCCCCTAAATAGCCTAAATTCCCTAATAAGCTAAATCCCCTAAAACACCAAAAACCATGAAGCCCCTGAATCCCTAAACCCTAAATCCCCTAAACCCCTAAACCCTAAAACCCCTAAAGCCCCAAAACCCTAAAACCACTAAACAGCTAGAATCCCTAAAACCCCTATAAACCGCAAAACCCTAAACCCTTAAATCCTAAAACTCTATATCCAGAAGCCCTAAACCCTAAACCCTAAACCCCTAAAACCCCAAAATCCCTAAAGCCTAAAACCCTAAACCCTAAACCCCTAAATCCCCTACAACCCCAAAACCCCAAAACCCCAAAGCCCCAAAATCCCTAAACCCCTAAAACCCCAAATCCCCTAAACCCCCTAAACTCCTAAATCCCTAAATCCCTTAGAAGCCCTAAACCCTAAACCCTAAAACCCCATAACCAGAAGCCCTAACCCTAATAACCCCCTAAAGCACCTTAACTTAAATCTCTAAACCCTGAAACCCTAAAACCCCTAAAATCCCTAATAACCCTATAACCCTATAACCCTAAACCCTAAACCCTAAACCCTAAAACTCTAAAGCGCCTTAAGGCGCCCTAAAAACAGGAGCTCCAGGAGGCGCAGAATGTGGCCATCAACGACGACGATGAGGCGCGGGGAGGGGGCCCCGAGAGATGACGTAGAGAGCCCAATACCCCTTAAATAAGGAATATGGTTGAGGGTTTAGGGTTTAGGGTTTAGAGCCCAATACCCCTTAAATAAGGAATATACCTTAAATTATAAGGGCCTGAATATTATGAATTAAGGTATATTCCTTAATTAAGGGGTATTGGGCTCTCTGGGGACGTAGCTGAAGGGGTGGCGTCTGAGTTTAGGGTTTTAGGGTTCTAGGGGATTTAGGGAGGGTTCTAGGGGATTTAGGGTTTTGGGTTTTGGGGTTTTGGGTTTGGGGGTTTAGGGTTTACGGTTCAGGGTTATAGGGGGGCTTTTAAAATGGTTCCAGAAGGGTTCTATTCTATAAGGGTTCTAAAGAGGTTCTGCAAGGGTTTGGAAAGGGCTCTGTAAGGGTTTGGAGAGGGTTATTCTGCCTGAGCCACTTCGCCTTCAGTTTTCACAGTTTTCACGGGCCTTTTTGGGTTTAGGGTTTAGGTGTGTTCCGAAGTTATGAACCTTTTGGGGCTTGTGGTCAGAGGCTCAAGGCTTCCGGAGACCGGCCTACTTGCCCCTAAACCCGAATAACCCTAAATCCTGAAGCCTAATGACCCTAAACTCTAAGCGCTGATAGCCCTAAACCCGAATAGCCCCAAATCCTGAACCCTACATTTGCAGATCTGAGCGCCAGGACTTGTAAGAGCAGAGCACCAACCTGCGCTGCCTGAGACGGCGGACGAGCTGGTGGCGGCAGATTTTGTCCGAAAGACTTCTATGACTTCTATCAGCACTAGATTGCAGTCGAGTTTCAAGGGGATCCACATCAGCCCCATTCAGCCCCCTAAGACCCTGGTACACTCGACAGCTGTTGGGGTTTCTGTCAGCATGTCCAGGTATGGATGAATTCTCAGTAAAGCGCTCCCCTCCTGTAGCTTGCCTTTTCTGATAGAAGGACTCTCCGTTTTGCATGGTGTCTTAGAGGCAGGGATTTGACACATGAAGGTGACCCGTCACCCAGAGTTCCGAAGTTTGGCTTCAGATGCTCTACCTTCAGACATAAACAGGCACAGGCTAAAACGTCCCACCGGTGCGGAGGGACTGTTGGACGTCTTTCTGCGAGGGCAGTTAGGAGGCCGTTGTGATTGAACACGGTCCAGCCGCAAGCCGCATTCAGCTTGACGCCAGCCTGCCGCGGGGACAGACCAACGTTTCGTGCAGCCTCGTTGGGAAAAGCTAACCCGCAGCAATGTTTACTTGGAGGAGCATGGGACTTAGTAAGTATGGTTATAAGTACTTTAATTGGGGTTATAAGTAGTTATAAGTCTAACAATAACCTCAGTTACTAAGTCCCATGATCCTTTAAGTACCCTAAACCCTAAACCCTAAACCTCAGTTACGAAGTCCCATGATCCTTTAAGTACCCTGAACCCTAAACCCTAAACCCTAAACCTCAGTTACGAAGTCCCATATGTTCAGTTGAAGAGTGGCCGGTGGTAGGTTGCTTCGCAGGGAGGGGGTTTGAGGATGAGGGACTGTGGGATTGGGGTTCAGCCAGAGGCCCTACAATCGTCGTTCCTTTTTGGGGTTCATATATCGAATCCTATAAGGTAACCCCAAAAAGGAACTACTTTAGGGCTTATGGGTAGTTTGAGAGATTGAAGTAGAAGTGCCTGCAAGCCACTAACCTCCCTAATCCCCACAGCATGGTATACAGCCATACTTGCCCTACTTGTTACATGAACTGGTATGGCCAAGGGAGACATTGAAGGTTTATGACATGAGGCGCAGAGCAGCTTTACAAGCCCAAAGCCCAATGCATGCAAGGCCCCAGTTCCCTTTTCGCCACGAGAGGTGCGAGGACTGACACCGGATGAAGCTAAGGACCTTGTGCTCCAGGAAGCTTGTCGGCTTCAAGCAATTGAGGTAGCTTCTAGGTATGAGCATGAATCCTTGAGATGAAACGTTCCCGACGAGAAGACTTGACACTCAGTTTCTGTGTGAAGCAATGCCACTGTGCCGACCAGTGCCGTAGCAGAATCTTCTGCGTGACCTACCTTGCAGGCTGGCATTGTGACTCGCTGGAATGCTGTATCAGTTGAGCGGAACATTTTCGGAGATTGAAACATTGCTGCATAGATTGGTATCCGAGGGGCAGTCCCACGTCTACCGAGCTTGAGACCACGTGCATATACATCGTACTTGAAGGATCATGGGACTTAGTAACTCGGGTTATAAACAAGGTAGTTATAGTCATAACTACTTAGAACCAAGTTATGGTACGTACAACCTTACTAAGTCGCATGATCCTCCAAGCAACCGTGAGTGCCTTTGGAACACAGGCAGCCTGCACAATGGCGAGGACTCTGAGCCGCATGCTGAGCTGTTTTTGAAAATCTTTCAGCGGAGACGTCGAGTCATGTCTTCTCCTGAGTTGCGGGTCCAGGCTGTGGGGTTCATGAGTTGCATCTTCAGGAGTTGTTGAACAGCTTTGCTGCGGTTGAAGACCCAGACTCGTTTCGGCTTGCCCTTGCCTACGCAAATCCCTGTACCTAAAGCTTAATCCCAGTACATTTGTGACGGGCGCTTGCTCGAAAAGAGCATCGCTGCAGTAGCCGCACTGTTGGGCACGGTAGGTCGGAAAACCTCCGAGTGGCAGCTTCCGATTTCGGTTGTGGCATGTTTTTCTAACTACTGATACATGGGCTCCAAGGGTTTTGCATAGGCCTCCCAGTTGGCAGAAAGCTCGTTGAGTCATCACATGCCGCCTGTTTGTGACCATGGACGCCTGCCTGGAAGCAAAAGCTGCCATGGAAAGACTATTGCTGGTTTTCTTCTGACTGCATATGCGCGCCGGGATCGGACATACAACAGCGAGGGTTTTGTGAATGGCGAGAAGCGCTCTTGGACGAGTGACGGCAGTAAACCGATGATCCTGCTGAAGCAGAAGGATGGCCAAATATCGTCCTATACCAACAAAGGACCTTGTTCTTCCAACTGCTCCAAGACATGTGGTGTGCATAACCATCGGTTCATTGATGGTTCTACGGGGATAAAACATCGAGGATTATACACAAACAGATGTTTGGGGATAAAGGGGAGGAAGCATCCCGACAAGGGTGCAACCCAGCGCGCCTCATCGATGCCCGGCAGGGCGGCGCCAAATGTGACCGAATCAAAGGCAGATGAGCAAAGGTCTGATACCCAGCCATGCAGGCGCCAGACCGAGAAGCAACCCCACAAGGGTGCAACCCAGCGCGCATCATCGATGCCAGGCAAGGCGCCGCCAACAGCGGACAAGTCCACTGCAGATGAGCAAAGGTCTGATACCCAGCCATGCCAGAGCAAGATGCTTGAAGAGCTGGTCGATTGTTTTGGCTCGGGCCGTGGCCTCAGTCTTTGGAGTGGCTCACAGCGATTCTTTGGGCTCACCCCTGACAGGCAGCAACATACTTCTTTCGGTTGCGGCTTGTTTCTCCTGTCGTATGCTGCATTCTGATGTTGGCTTGCCTTCATCTCAGTCAGATGTTCTATGCATCTTGCTCGTGCCTCCGCAATTGTTGCTGCTTCTGTTCCAATCTACAAGCAAGGGCTTCGTTCCTTCAGTCTGGTGGGTCCAAGCTGAGGTGTGCAGCGTGCAGTGACGGTCAACTCCGAAAGCTTGCATCCAACTCTCGCTTCGAAGCAAGCAGCCTTGCAGGATGGTCTGAAACTGGTGTATGAGACGGGAGGGAGAGCTCTTGCAGACAAGGGGCCTCAGGCAATATTGGAGAAGGCCGTGACGGATGCTGTTCCGGCCTCGCTCCGGGAAGCTGTCATGTCTGAGGCCGCGGAGGCATTTTGCAACGCGGAAGGCCTCGCATCGGAGCGGTCGTGTTCTGCAGGAGAGTCTTTGCTCAAGCGGGCATGTCAGGCAGGGTTGGACAAAGCAGGTGTGCCTCTTGCTGTTGATCGGTTCATCAACGAGTCGACTTGCAAGGGCCTCGAGCTAGCGGGTGGCTCAAAGATTTCGGCAGGCATACGAGAAAAAGCTGGGGAAGCTGTGCTCCAGGATGGAACAGCTGTTTGCCAGCACCAGACGGAGAAAGGTATCCAATTCCGAGTTGGTGGCGGCACTGCGTTGGATGTCTGTGTCGGAACCCATGTCCCTGTTCTCAGCGAGCTGGCCAGTGCTGTCGGGCTCAGCGGCAATGTGGGCAAGACAGAGAGAGTGGAGACCCATACGAAGTCCTCCCAGCTCTCCTCTTCGTCGTCCTCGACCCATGAAACTATGGATGGCATTGCTGGAGGTATGGATATCCTGGGTGTTGAGATGCTCAATTTGGACACCGGTGTGTCGAACAAGCAGTTGCTGAAAGAAGAAAGCTCTCTGACGTCCTCTACCAAAGAGCAGACATCTTCCGTTTCCTTGAAGCTTCTTGGCAAGGAGGTCCATTCAGTGTCGTTCAGCGAAGTTTCGGACTATGAAAGGACTGGCATATTTGAGTCCAAGCAAGTGCACACCCAGACAAGCAGTTGGAATGTCATGGGGGCAAAGGTTCATAGCCAAGAACACCTCCGGCATGAGGAACGGAGAAGCTTTACTGGATCCTCCACCAGAACACAGGACAACCGGAACGGCATTCTTACTGAGACCGAGGGCTACGGCGTCTTTGGTATGAACATACTGGAAGTGAAGAAGACGACAGTCCAAGATGTTGCTACGGTGCCTAGCAAATCGGAAAGGCTGGGCAAGGACCATGCCATGTTGAAGCACCGTAATGCTTTTTGCGGCTACTGCTGTCGCTGTCAACAGGAGCCTGTTCCAGAAGTGGTTGGCGCCAAGATCCAGGAGAATCCGCACAGCTTCAAACAGGAGTGCCAACCATCAGAAGCCTGTTCCAGAAGTGGCTGACAAAAAGACCGTATCTCAGCAAGGGCGGCTGACAGGAGTTTGGCAAGTCGGAGAGAGCCCTCCAGTCACGTGGATGTAGCAATGTAGCAACATCGACTCTTGTCAACCTGTCGCAGTTGCAGAGTTTCCCCCGAAGGCTCTGGCAGGGGTGCAGCTGGCTGTGGCCTAGGATGGTGACCCCATGTGACGCTCCCTTCAATCCTTTGCCAAGCCCAACCGTAACGACCCAAAATGGAGGAGACGTCTACCACGGAAGTTCACCTTGGTGAAGGTGGCCATTTGCTGCGCGGTGCTGTTGCAGGTGCCATGGGGGCTGCGTGCGACGGAGCGGCTCAACAGGTGTAAGATTATGTTGCTTGCCCTCGGGTGTTTCTAGAATTCTCTGTATTCCAGGCGTAACATGACCGTGTCCAAAGACGTTCCGTTGACCTTACTTTTTCGATCAGTGTAGAGACCTTCAGGTGGTGTGGTGGAAGCCGCGTATGACCTCACGGAAGGGCACGGCGCCGCACAAGCACTTCAAGATTTTGGTTCCTGCGCAGGTCAGAACCTGGCCGCTTCTGTTCTCATGCACACGACTGGGCTTCCAATTCCATCCTTCAGTGACCATCATGAGGAGCTTGTGTTTGCGAATGGCGTGAGCATGGGAGTCGGAGAACAGGTGAATCAGTTCAAGACGCTTGATGGGACAGTCTCACAGCACACATCGGGTCTGCAAATTGGCTGTGGGATCCCGGGCGATCCGCTTGGCATTGTCCAGGCCCAGGCCACAATTGGTGTGACGGAGGACTCTGTTCACAAAGAAACGGCCCTTCCAGGTGGAACAGACACTTTCGCCGAGAACGTGAAAACTGAGGGTGCTGAATTCCGAATTGGTATCGGCAATTTCTCAACTGCGCCAGTTTGCATAGGCCATGTGAAGTCGACGTCAAGGGACGAAGTCAAGACTCACACCAAGGGAGGGGGCACCAAGCACGAGGTGACAAGTCGCAGTTACGATGGGTACAACTGGTTGCTGGTTTCTTCGGGATCTGTGATACAAAGCACCTTGGTCGACAACATCTCGCAGGATGGTGTAAGGTCATATGATCATTGCAACTTTGAAGGTCAGCAGTCTGGCTTCAATCTCGGCATCGTTGCCGAACAGCATGAATTTGGGACATTCGAAGAGCAGTCTGGTCAAGACCAGCACCACTGGACAACGCCGGATGGCGTCCATCACACAGAGCAATCGGCTGAAACTTTCCAAGGGCAGGAGGATCATGTGACGGATAGGTTCCTGCCTCCCGGCTGGACTTCAAGTTGCAGTGATTTCTTAAATTTTGCGTTGTTCCTGTCTGGGCACGCACAGGGTACAGGTTTGGGATTTGCAAAGGCTTTGGCGGCTGAGGGTCCACGAGTAGCGAGTCATGCCGGTTTCGACAGCAGCTTGATGGCCCAGTTGCTGTCTGATGCCAAGGTTCTGGAACACATACGATCATGACGTGAAGACTGGGACTGTGCAAGGCAACTCCACAACCAGCTCGTCATTCCATCGCACAGAGAATGGCTCTGAAGTCACCGGCGCTCATTCGGAGGTCACCGACTATGAAGGCGACAAGTCTGTGGACAATGGTGTGGTGACTGCAGAGCAGTTGCAAGTGTCTAAAGAATCTGACTTAGTTGAACACTGAGCTCCTCTTACACCATGCAGCCTTGCACAGCCTTGCGCAAACTGTGTTTTGCATGTCGTGCTTGCTAAGGATGTCACCGACCATTCAGAGACACATGGACTCGGAGACCAAGACCAAGACTGTCAGATCAAGGACGTGCACAGCTCGTATGCTGGAACCAGGATACAAGAAGCTGGCAGTGGCCACCCGGATGAGCATGGAACCTGGACAAGTGATGAGCACGTACAGGCAACTCATCATGGTTGGCAAGGATGTGAGGAGTCAGACGTTCAGATTCATAAGGTACAAGATGGAACTGAGACTGGCCCAACTGGGCATGAGATTGGAGAAGATGTTTCGGGAACCATCGACCATACGGTCATGGGAGGCAGGCTTCATTTGAACAAGGAGACGTTTGCCATTCATGACGGCGAAGGCACTTTGCACACTGAGGGCTTGTTCACTGCAGTGGACGTGCGTGGCAAAATGCATTATGACGAGACGTCGGGTCAGGTTGTGGTGGATGCTGCAAGTGATTCTTTCGTGCTCTCAGCTAACACCAACGGGGCCATCGCTGCCGCAACGAAGGTAGCGTTCCACACGCTCTTGAACAAAGGCTACCTTGAAATCAAGGACGTAGGTTCGCTTGGCGACTTGGCCGTTTCTGATGTTTTGAAGTAGGAGATCACCTCAGCACATCACGCAGCAACGGCAGTCGGAATGCCGAGGCATGCGAGTTGCCCGCATGTCTAAGGCTGGGTGGCAGTGAAGCAGTTTGCGCAAATCACGATCCTGCAGAAGCTGGCGCAGCTCATGGGATCTTCCTGGCTTACCATGGGTGTGGCAAGCTGCGTGATCAAGGCTGTTTATGACATTTGGGCCATCGTGAACTGGACATCTCTCTCCACTGTGGACAAGGGAGGCCACACGCTAATCACCAGCGTAGGGCTGGTGTGTGATATCATCATTTGCATTGCCTTTGCTTCCAATCCGCTCCTGTCAGCAATGTTGCCAGCGAGCCAGATTATGCGCGAGATGGTCGCGAGCTTCTATGACTGGTGCTCAGGCAAAATCACCACGCAAATGTTCAAGACCAACTTGTGCGCGGACGTCCTTCAGCTGGCACCCGCAGCTTTCGGGGGTTACACGGGCATGAAGATTCCTAGAAGCACCGTACCTTACTTTTTGGTGCTGCAAGCTCCAAATTTTCCAACATAGTTTAGTTACTGGCTGCCGTACCAGCACTGCTCAAGTCTACTCTATACTCTACTCTCACCGAATACAGTACATCACAACATCAAGTTACAATGTCGCAAGCTACAATGCCCACTTTACTCTTGTACCAATCTTTCCTGTACCATACTGCAACAAGGTCCTTAAGGTACTGTAGTATACTAGAATTTTATCGCTAACGCGAGACCGCCTGGGCAAGTGTGGTTAAGGCGATTTCCTTTCAATTGCCTGCGCCTAGTCTAGGCCACTGCCTGGCAACCCCCCCCCCCCCCCCCCCCCGTGCCCCCAGTTCCGAATGAAGCTGGGGTGCATAGTAGTACTGGCAGTTCCGAGCCTGCGCCAGAGGTTTAGGGTTTAGGGTTTAGGGTTTAGGGTATACAAAGAGGATCTGTAGTGGAAGCAATACACTTACTTGTCCATCAGTCGAGGGGAACTTAATAGGGATCATAGAGCCCCCCCGAAAAAGCTTCAACGGTTGAAGGTTACCTACTCTGCTTCTAAGAATACGTCTTGCAGTTGAAGGTTCGGTGTTCAACCTTGGGGCTGCGGTTCAAACGCTTTAGGGTCTAGGGTCTTGCCTTTGAGGATGCAGGGTTTCAGGCTTGATGTCTTGTCTCATTATGAGTTAGGACTAGGGAGACGCTCGGGGATCTAGACCCTCTCAATAAGGCCCCCTTAAGTGAGCCATAGGTAGGGTTGAGAAGGGTCGCCTTGAAGGGGTCTCCCTAATCCTACCTAGGATTGTGTTCCGGGTTTAGGGTTTAGGGTTTAGGGTCTGCTTGGGGTTCAAGCTCCGCGCTGCAACATCTAATGTAGGGGCCTTAAACATAAAAAGTGTTTGGGGGTCCATTATAATAATATATTTGTAAAAAAGAACCCACAAAATAGTGTAGGTAATACCCTGAACCCTAATCCCTAATATCGAACCCCCAAAATATTGCGGGTAATACCTTAAACCCTAAACCCGAATAAGGAACCCCCAAAATAGTGTAGGTAATACCCTAAACCCAAAACTTTAATAGCGAGGCCCCAAAATAGGGTAGGTCACTATTTAGGCCCCCATACTAAGCTTCGGGGCTCCGCATTTCCGGCCGCTTGCGGAGCTTGCAGGGCTTGCGATGGATTTTTACGACCAAAAGCCGATGCTTACGTAATGTAGGGGCCTAAATAAGTACCAATACTAGTTTTAAGGGTTCCTTAGTATAAGTATTAAAGGCCCCAAGACCCCTTTCTAATTATTAAGGCCCCTAGATTAAGCATATGTATGTGTGTATGGATACACGTTTGATAGACGAGTGGGGTTCCTCATGGTTTCCGGACCAATGCGCTGTTGATCTTATGTTTCAGTTAAGCCCCAAAACCCTGCACTCTGAATCCCAATACCCACAGATCCCTGGTGAACCTCCATGACAACCCCAAAACCTCAACCTCAATGCCCCAAGTGCTCCGGATCGAAGAACCTGTCCCAACGAGTTATGACCCAAGGCCTTGTTGTACGCACACTTCCTCAGTTTCCAAATCCGCGATTGTGGATCAGATGGGCTACGGTTGCGGGTTTTTGATTCAGCTAGTGTAGGGACCTTAATAATCACAATAGGGCTTGGGGCTGCTTTATAAAACACTCACAGTAAGGAACCCTAAGGAATACTATTGATTATTATCTTCTGGGCTTCCATATTAACCCTAAACCCTAAACCCTCAACGTTTA